CCAGGCCAGCTAGGGCTACAGGGAGACCCTGTCTCAAAAAGACTAAATAAATAAATAAATAAATAAATAAATAAATATTAGAATGGTGCCAGGTGGTGCACACCTTTAATCCCAGCACTTGGGAGGCAGAGGCAGGTGGCTCTCTATGAGATTAATTCCAGCCTGGTCTACATTGTGAGTTTCAGGCCAGCAGAAAGAACCGCGTTTCAAGAAGTTTAAAGTCAACCAGTAGGGGAGGACCTGGTCCATTGTAGCAGCTGGAACATGGTTAAGCCTTGGGAATGGCACATCATGTAGGCTTCCAGAAGGATTCAAGATGAGAGCCTGAATCTAAAAGGTGAACAGCAGTTTGGCAAAGAAAGGGAAGGCAGGCACTATAGTCAGAAGAATAAGACTGCATATAAAATATTGGAAAGTTGGGGCTGGAGAGATGGCTCATTGGTTAAGAATGCACATTGCTCTTGCAGAGGATCTGCATTTGGTTCCTGGCAACCACACAAGGAAGCCCAAAACCAAATGTAACTCCAGCTCCAGAGAACCCAATGCCCACTTCTGGCCTCTGTGGGCAACTTCATTCACATGCACATACTCATATACTGGCACCATATACATATAAACATAATTAAAAATAAAATAAAATATTTTCTAAAAGATGAGAAGTGACCAGTTATGATGGATGAGTCTCTCTATGGACCAAATCTGAACAAGTATAGTTAACAAATATATTGCCAATAAAAACTTGGGGATCTGGGGAGTAAAGAGTTAAGAGTATGTACTGCTCTTATAAAGGACCAGTGTTTGATTCCCAACACCCACATCAGATGACTCACAACTACCTGGAACTCCATCTCCAGGGGATCTGACACGTTCTTTTGGCCTCCACATGTACCTACACATTTGTACATACACACTCAAACACACATATACATAAATAAATAAATAAGTAAATAAATAAATAAATTTTTAAAAATTAAAAAGAAAATTAAAAAGAAAAAAAAAAATCAGAGGGGGAAGATGGGAACAGGGGTTGCAAAATGCCATGTTATAAGCATGACATGTCCACAGCAACCACAAACTCACAGCAGCTGTCTGGCACTGGGTCCACAGAAGTCATGCCCTCATAACAATCACCTATGGAGAGGAAAGAGATTCATAGAGCCCTACCACTTACTGCTATTCTATTAGTTACCAACAGATTCTGGAAGAGAAGTCTGGAAGAGTATCCAGTTGTGTACATACCGGCAAGCCTACCTGGCTCTGATGGTTAGTTCCACACTTAGGGTCACATAGTTAAACTCTGTGGGACACTAAACAAAATCAAAACCAACAAACAAAGGAAAGGTATTTGTAGGGAGGAGGGAGGTTGGTAATAGTGGGAGGGAAATAAGAGAGGGTATACATATATGAAATAGTAAAAGAACAAAATTTACTAAAAAAATTTTAATGGCATCCAAATTGGAAAAGCGTAGCTATTGTTATTGCAGATCATGTAATCTTACATACAGAAATCTTAAGGAACCTAAGAAAAGCAAGTAGTAACAAGAGAATCAAGAAACAATTAAAAAAATGTTTCACAGTACAGTATCAATATGCAAAGGTTGTTTGGGGTTTTGTTTTGAGACAGGGTCATACTATTTACCCAGGCTGGCTTCAAACTCCTGAATTAAGATGATCCCTCCCACCCCCCCCAACCTATACCTGGGCCTCTAAACCCAGTAATTGTATTTTTATATACTGAAAATGGATATTTTAAAACATATAATTAAGAATTGAAGTCTACCTAAAATTATACCAAGATACAATAAAGTACTTAAGTATAAATTTGGCAAGAGCAGGACAAAATATATACCAAAAACCACAACATTGTAGAAAAAAAAAAGTTTAAAAGATGCAAATAAATGGAAAAAACATTCAATGCTCCTAGATTCAAAGACTTAATATTGCTAAGATGGTAATGATCTAGAAATTGACTAACAGACTTAATGCAAGTATTATCAAAATCCCAGAAGCAGGTATACAGAAATTAAAAGCTGATCATAAATTTCATATGAATTACAAGGAACTCGAAATAGTTAGAACAACCTTGTCAAAATGGAACAAAGTTCAAGGACTCTTCAAAGCTTACTAAAAGCTAACATACTATACTATAGCACTATAATTAGGATAGACACATACAGGAATGAATTGAGAGTCTAAACATAAAACTCATATAACCCTGGTCAGCAGATTTTCAACAAGAGTAAAAAGGAGGACCTAGGAGTGAAGAATGGCCTTTTCAACATATGGTTGCCGAGACAACTGGCTATCTACATTTTGAACAAAATTTAACTGTAAAAGGTTTTATACACCTAAACTTAAGAGTTAAAACTACAAAACTGACAAGAAAACAATTTAGGTTACATAACATTGTCTTAGATACACCACACAAGCATAGTGATAAAAGAGAACAGAAAAATTGAACACTTCCCCCAAATTAAAAACTAATGTGCTACCAACAATTCATCAAAAGAGAATTCAATACAGGAGAAGATATTTGCAAATCATACATTAGGTAAAAGATTTGTATACAAAACATATGGAGAACTCCTACGACTCAATGACAAGGAGATGAAAAACCCATTTAAAAGTCAATTATCAATTAAATTATTAAAACAAAAATGTTTAATGGGCAAAGTATGTGAATACATATTGCTCCAAGAAGACGGACAAAAAGCAAACACACACAAAATGATGCTTAAGTTAGTAGGGAAAGGTAAATCCAAACCAGAATGGAAATGCCAGTCCACCTGCACTAGGATGTCTATAATTAAAAGACAAATAATAATTACTGGAAAAGATATGGAGAAATTGAAATTTCCATATATTACTAGCAGAATTTTTAAAGAACAACCTCATTGGAAAATAGTATGACAATTTCTCAGAATGCTTAACAGAGAATTACCATATGATGTAGTAATTTCATTCCTGCCTATATATTTCATTCCCACCTATAAATTTTATTTATTTAATAGACATAAATAAAAACACATGGAAACACAAAAGCTTTTATAAAGATTGGGAATGTGGCTGAGTGGTAGAGTGTTTTCCCTAGCATGCAAGAAGCCATGGGTTCAATCCCCAGTACCAGAAGAAAAAAGAAAAAGCTTTTACACGATTGTTTATCGCAATTATTCATAATAACCCAAATATCCATCAAGTGACAAATAAATTTAATAAAATACAGTATATAATACAATGGAATATCACTTGATAACAAATGGAATCAAATACCAGTACATGCTATAGCACAAATAATGCCTGCAACAGTGCTGTGCATTGAAGCTTGCCACAAAAGATCAGACATTGTGGGGCTAAAGAGATGGCTCAGTGTTAAGAGCACTGGCTATTCTTGGAGAGAACCCAGGTTCAATTTCCAGCACCCACATGGTGGCTAGCAACCATCAAGTCCAAGGGGTCTGATGTCCTCTTGTGGCCTCCACAGGCATTGTACACAGAAGTACATTAACACATGCAAGCAAAACACTTATACACATAAAATAAAGTTCAAAAATAATTTTTAAGGATCATATAAAAAAAAATCTGGGTGTGGTAGTGCATGCCTTTAATCCCAGCAGTTAGGAGGCAGAGGCAGGAGAATCTCTGTGAAATCAAGGCTAGCCTGGTCTACATAGTGAATTCCAGGTCAGCTGGGGCTACAGGAAATCCTAGCTCTCAAGAAATAAATAAAATTAATCAACTAATTAATTGTTAAATAATCATATATTCTTTAATCCTATTTGTATTAAATGTCTGGCATAGACAAATCCATAAAGACAGAGAATATAATAGGGGTTTTTAGGGAGGGTTTGGGAATTTAGAGGTAACAGGGAGTGATTGCTAATGGGTAGGAACATGTTCCAAAAACAGACTGTGGTGGTGGCTGCAAAACCAGATGACTACAGAAAAAAAAAAAAAAAATCACTGTAAATACACATTTTAAATTGGTGACTTTTGTAATACACAAATTGTATTTCAATGGTGATTCTACTTTAAGAAAGTTTTTTTTCTCTTTATTTTTTAGTTTAGTTTTTTTTTATTTGAAGGAGAGGAGTGATGCTATTACTAGATCTCATGAATTCAATCCAGGCTGACCTGGAACTGAAGATCCTCCTGATTCAGCTGAGTGCTGGGATTACAGGTGTGTGGCATATGACCCGGCTATGAAAAACCTCTTTAAACACATCACATCACATTGCACAGGTTACAAATAACCTGTATAAAAGGAAGAGTTAATTATACATTTAGAATTTAATTTATATAAACCACTCTTACCTCCAGTACTTATTTCTACTTCTGAAGAATCTCTTTCTAAACTCCCAGCACTACTAACAATATTCATTAAATGAATTGCAGTCCAGGCAAAAGGCATACGGTATTTCCCAAGTCTCTGGCAAAACTGATCAGCTTGACTTTTCAGTTTCTCCAATTTTTCCTTATTCTGGAAAACAGAATTTTACACTTGAAGAAAATCATCTCAGGGCTATTTCATATGATATTAAGGAGCAGGTTAAAAGTCCTCAATTCTTACAAAGATAGAAAACAATCCAGGGCTGGCTGAGGATGTAGTTCAGTAGAGCATGTGCTTGCCTAGCCTATACAAAGGCCTAGGTTCTATCCCAGTATGAAGGGAAAAGAAAAAGTACCTTTCAGATGTCAAGACACAAGGGACTACCTTACAACATAACTCATTCTACAGATATATGTGTGGAATAAGGCACCGAAATTTCTTTGTGATTATGTCATCTTGAAGAAAAGAAAGATGAGCAAGTGTCAAGCATACTTATGTATTGCAAGTAATATCTTAGAAAAGGAGCATAACTGTGGTTTGATTTTTTAAAAATATTTTATTATTTTTATTTTATGTGTATGAGTGTATTACCTGCATGTATGTGAGTGCACCCATGTCATGCAATGGCGTGGAGATCAGAAGAGGGCTTCAGATTCCCCTGGAACTGGAGTTAAGGACAGTTCGTGGCTGCCATGTGGGTGCTGGGAATCACACCTGGGTTCTCTGCAAAAGCAGTCAGGGCTCTTAACCACTGAGCCATCTCTCCAGCCCTGGTCCGATTTTTTAACACAAGATTTAATACCAAATAGTCAGAAAATGAGTGCTTGAGGACTACCACACAAGCCTCTAAAATCTAGAAAATGTTTTGATTTTATGAGCTTCAAAACAAAAATTGAATCTTTCTGCTCATATAAAGATCTGAGCACGTGATACTCTTTTCTGATCTTTGGCTGTGTTGAAATCCACATTAAAGTATCCTGGTTTAATGTCATTTTACAAATTAAATTGGCTATGTTACATGAAGCTCACAAGTATACTAGAACCTTATCCCATTTTTTTCTTTATATATTTATAAAGAAATAGAATTAAGCATGCCTGATATTTAGGCTTTGGTGTGTGTGTGTGTGTGTGTGTGTGTGTGTGTGTGTGTGTGTTTAGTTTTTTGTTTGCTTGCTTATTTGTTTTGAAATAGGATCTCACATTGTAGCCCTGGCTGGCCTTGAACTCACTACATAGACCAGAATGGCCCAGAACTCACAGAGATCTACCTGCTTACGCCTGCCCAATGCTGGAGATTAAAGGTATGCCCCACCATGCCAGGAGTGTGTCATGTCGTGTCGTGTCTTATTTTGTTGGGGTAAAGATCCAAGATCTCACGTATTCCAGGTTTTCCTTAAACTTACATGGATGTTTCCCTAAACATCTCATCCTACTGCCTTCACCACCACCACCACCACCACCACCACCACCACCACCTTGATTTCTGGGATTATAGGCATCTGCCAAAACACCCAGTTTATTATGCAATGAGCAAGCACTCTACCTACTAATATACATCCTCAGCCTGGAATTTAGATTCTTAAAGCAAGAACTTCTTTTTGGAGGTACAATAGATCCAGCAATAAATATTCTACTACTCTGTTAGCTTTTAATCTCTTACTAGCTCCAAGTCCCAATGCAG